TTCTGGGTGGTGTGGAGCCGGGGGGCGGGGGGGGTGTTGCATCCGCGATGCCGAATTAAATCCGTTTTCTCTCACCAAATACACATGTATTATATACATATATATATTTGTATACACACAAAAATGTGTGCATGCACATATATTAACCTATATTAGGGGCATCCCAAAATGCAAATGATAAACTGCAGATCGTAAATTAATTAAACGTAATAGAGCATCCTGAACTGCATCTGGGCTTAAGTAAGACCAGACCCAAGAGGAAGCACTCGTTTTCACTTCCAAAATGAAAACTGTCCCTGGCCGTGATCGTTCCTCCGGGCTCCGGGCTCATACCGGCTGCACAAAATTTTGGGTAGGATCTGGCCTCCGGTGAAGGGGGTGTTCGCTGGTTGGTTTTAATGGCGTTTTGTTCGCACTTCTCCTGTAAGGGGAATCCTTATGAAAAGACGAGGGTGCTAACCCAAGAAATGTCTAGGGGAAATCAGGCGCGTTCAAAAGCTGTCTCTTTTCCGAGGCTACAGCATGTCCGTGATAGGTATAAAATATTAACTAGCGTATCGGTGGGACTGAAATCACACGCCGGAATCAGTTGAAATTAGACTGAAACCTGGTATGAATTTAAACTGTCACAAGCATCTCAGCTCTTTCCAACTCCTCCCTTCCATCCCCACCCCCAGTCCCTCTCCGTAGATTAGATTAGCTAAACATACAAGCCAGAATTTCGATTCAAGGGGGAAAGAGGGGCGCTTTTTTTTGTTGTTCGTTCCCATTCTATTTTTTCTTCCTGAAGCATGCCCTGCTTTCATTTTTTAAAATCATCTCCTGCGCAAATGATTCCTCTAAACTGAACACTCTCGTTTTGCAGTCTCTCGATCAGAGAAGAAAAATAAGCAGTGCTGAGTGGTACTGGCTTTTGCAGAAATACGGGTACTCGGATATGTGATTGTACCTCATTCCTCTGTTTAGGGAGGGAGGTAGAAAAGAATAGGATATTAAATAAACGTTTGGGCTGTAAATTAAATCGCCCAATGTTATATTAAACAAGATCAAACAGTAGGAAACAGCTGAAAGGCTGGTTGTTGTTCCCCAACCTATTAACCGGGTTTTATTACCCCAAAGTAGCCAGTAGCTCCCCAGGCAGGTCCACCTGTCTAACTTGCCTAGAGACACTTTCTCAACTTTCTAATCCCCTCTCCTTCTTATTCTCCCCTTCCCCTGCGAGCCTGTGCGGGATTTTTAGCTGACTTCCTTTAAAAATATATTTTTTTTATTTAATTTTCTTTTCGCTAAGAGAAGGAATGGCGTTTTGCCTCTGGGGTGCAGTGCTGCTTTGGCACAGGTGAGAAGAGAGGCAGGGGACCGAGGGCCTTGGCAGCCGGGCCCGATGGTGGCTCTCGGCGCAGGGATGCTCTGTATCACCGGGCCCGGGCAGCTGCCCCACAGTCAGGCTCTTCTCTTCCTTCGCCTCTCCAGCCGGAGCCTTTGAGTAGGATATGCTGACCGACACAAGACAAAATGTTCAGGGAGAGCCCCTCTACATCCCTCTTTCTCCTAAAAGCAGCAGCAGCATCCCGACGGCCCGAAAGCAGGAAGAACAGGTCTCCTAAGGCATTAAAACTCCCCGGACAAGGTTTCCTCGTACAAAAATATACAGATAGACAAAAACGTCTGACGTCCTGCGCTGCCCCCTTCCCCGAGGCGAGTGAACGCCTAACTCACCGGATCGATTTCGGATGTGAACGGGGGCTGGCGGGGGGCAGGACCGAAGTTGTGACTTATTTTTCATGGCTACTTATTTTTCACGGCATACGCTCACGTTATGCATGCAGGAGTACGTGTTTCTAAGCGTATGTTCCCGCCGCTGCGGGAGGGAGGTGGCCGGAGGAGGGAGGCAGGATGCAGGAGGCGATCCCACTCGTCCCGCCGGGGCTGGGACCGGGGTCGCGGTGACCGATTCGCCCCCGCTGTGGAAAACCAGGAACGACCGGGAAGGGGGTCAGGGCTGCCGGCGGGAATCACGGGGCCGAGGGCTCTCAGCCCCGCTCTTACCTTCCGCCGTCCTGCCCGTGTTGAACTCCTTCAGTTTGTCCTTGTCGCTCTCTACATGGTCTTTGAAAAGATGCACCGGGCAATGGTTGCTGGTCTCGGTCATGTCCTGTAGGTTAGAGTCAGAGTTTCCAAGCTCCCTAGAGCGAGCCAACCCACTCTCCAAAACTTCCCTGTACGTGATCGTCTCCTTCTTGTTGCTGCTGCCACTGCCGCTGCTGCTCTCTTTGCTTTTCTGGTCAAAAGATTTGGATACAAAAGCCGTAAGTTCTTCCATGGCTGCCCGATGATCTTATCCACAGAGATCCACTTGTTTTCAATCGGAGATGTGGCCGTCCTCTGCACGCTGTTTTTGCACGTAGAAGATGGGCTGTATAGGGTTAGATCACTCCTGCTGTTATTTATGCCTTTCAATTTGAGATCACACTATTTATACATGGCTACCTCAGCCCAACCCCCAGCTCTCCCTGTCTCCAGCAATTACTGACTGCTCCATAGTCGCAGGCGGACTCCGAGCAGCTATCTCCCCCACCTCAGTCCAGCAATTGGCTTTCTTTTCATTTCATCACTCTTTGGCATCTTTGCACCTTGATTTAGGGAGGCAAAGAGGCAGCAGCGGAAAAGAGGGGGAGAGAGAGAGGGGGAGAGAGGAATAAAAGCGAGGGAGGGGGGAAGAGGAAAACATGAAAATAGGTATCTGCATTCTGTAAATGGGTTGCAGAAATGAAAGTCGAGGAAGACTTAATTGATTGTAAGGACATCCTGTGCGTGGCAACACTGTGAGTAAAAACGGACCCATAGCTAATCAAATAACTGTGCTCCTGCAATTAAATGTATCGCTGTCAAGAGGAAAAGAAAATGAGTGTTCAATAAAAAAGGTAATGAATAAAACGCCGGAGATGTGCATTTGTTGTAATCATTGGAAATTTTACCTGATTTGCTTTTTAGCTAATTTCTCTTAATTAAATGGTTAAGATAACCGGCGAAACAAAAATGCTGTTTTAAAAGTGCTGCCTGTTCTGGCTGAGGGTGGGTGAGTGGGTGTGCGGAAGGGGACGTGTGCTGCAGCTAAACTAGTTGCGAGGTGCCTCGGAGATCCGCGTCGGTGCGTTCGGAGGATTTGGAGGGGGTTGCTTAGCCGGAGGGGTGGGGGGTATCCATAGATAGGGGCTCCCTCCAGATGCGTGTAAGCATTGCAGGATCTGTTTTCTTGTTTACTGTTATTATGTTATCTGAAGATACTGTAGGGGAAAATTAAAATCTAAAATGTTCATTTGGATGTAGCGTTATCCAGTTGCATGCAGCAGAAGGGTAATTTGTTAACATGGGAGTTTTTACACGACAAATAGAGCACTAAACCGTTCTTTTTTTTTTTTTTTTTCCCAACGAAACATACCCTGCTGGATTTAAGATAGAACTGGTAATAATTCCCCCACTTTGTTCTTGGTAGGCTGCAGTTATTTCTGTTGTAGTCCTGGAATAATTATTATTCTGTGTGCTTGAATAGCTGCCTGAAATTCGTCTCCAGATAACAGTGCCGGCATTTCCAGCGCCTCTCCGCACCTTTTGATCCCCACGCGGAGTCGACTTTCCAGTTATTTATTTCTATTTCCTCTCCCCGGGCTTTAACGAGAAGGGTTATTCGGTATTTGGTGGAATTTTGTCTTCTGGTCATTAGGCTTTTTACGTCCTTCTTGTTCCCTCTCTCCTCGAGTTTGAGATAATCAGAGCCCATCATCACGCCACCCCCTGCTCTGAATCGCAACCAAAGCAGGCTCCTTGTTGGAGCAAGGGGCCATTGTTTCTTTTCCGGGGGAGTGTGGGACTGCTCTGAAAATTAGCAGAACATTAAAACACTAAAAATACGTTTAATTAATCCAAAGGTGCCCCCAGCACCAGAGTTAACACCTCCACAGGAGGAGTGGAAAAAATAATAATCGAGGAAGCAATTAATAAAGGGCTTAAAAAAAAATCAATCTCCCCCTGTGCGAATTTAAAATGATTATCTAGAGGACAAGGATTGATCATTTGATCTCGGCACTGCGGATATCCCTGACATTTATTATATTGTTGTGTCTCGGTGGCATCCTTCCACCAGAGTTCGTTTAACAAGTGAGAGAGCCGAGGAAGCCTTACAACTTAACAAACAGGTCTTGTCATCGCAAACGCCAATCAAATCCGAGGCTCTAATGTATATCACACGGCACCACATAAATAATAGAAGCAAAGGATAGATGGAGAAGTAACGTATGGCTGAGGAAAAATCCCGGGACGACACGCTGCTTGTGACTCTGTCATGCAGTTTGCGTGTATAAGGGCTCGTGGTGGTTTGTTGCACACGCTGGTGGCGTGGTACGAGGATGTCACGGACACGCGGGGGCACGGGCACCGCTCCCGCGTGGGAGAGGCGCCGTACCGGGGCTGAGCCACCGCCGTGGAAACTTTCCCCAGCCCTCGGGTCGACCAGCACCGATCCCCACCATGCCCAGCCTCCCTCTGCCGCCCTCGCAGCAAGCAGCAAACAAGGATAAATATTTACTGACTCTGCGTCCCCAGCCCCGCAGTGGCACGGTGTGCTTCGGCTTCCTCGAGCTGCCGGAGTTTGCACCAAGTCCGCCGGATCTCCCCTTTCCTCCCCCTCGCCCCCGTCCCGTTCTCCTCCCCGCAGCTCCCCCCTGTGCCCAGCCCCACGCCTGCAGCCCACGCGAGCGCGGGGCCGCGCTTCTCCCGGAGACCCCCGGGCCCCGCCTGCCAACGCCAGGGCTTCTGCCTCCGAGGACAGGGGCAGAAATCCAAGCCTCCTCAGACAAATTCAAGCCTCCTCAGACAGAGGGAAGAAAAGCTCTGTTGCCTGTCCCCCACTCCAAGCCTCCCTCCTGCTTCTCGGCAGCGCGGAGCCGCCTGGAGGGAAGGCTGGTTGCCCCCCGCTTTCCGCAACCCTCGGGGCGCAGCTCGGCGCGGGGCAGCCACCGGACGCGCAAGTTGCGCCGTGGCCCGCGGGCCACCGCCGCTGGCCGCCCTCGACGGCAGCAGGGGGGCCACCCTGGGGGAGCCTTGCAGCCGGGGGGAGCTTGCCTCTGACTCACTCCGAAAGCGAGAAGCAAAACAAAGCACCGGAAAGGGAGAGGAAACAGGGAAAGAAGAAAAACAAATAAGGGGGGGAAAAATAAAAAAAAAAATAAAATAAAAAAAAAAAAAAGGAAGAAGAAGAAGCGGTGCAAATCTGAACCCTTCGGGGGATCTGGTCGCCGCCCCACGCCGCGGAGAGCCGAGGGGCAGGCGGCAGAGGGCGCGGCAGTGCGGGCAGCCCTGCGGGCGCGCACGGCCCCACTGCGCGCTCCGCGCACCGAGGATCTCTGCGAGGGATGACGGGCCCGTCCCGTCCCAGCGGGCGGCAGGGAGCGGCGTGGGGCGGAGAGAGCCCCCGGACCCCCACCCTTCGTGCAACCCCGGGCCTTGCGGGGACCTAGGGCAAGGTGATGCCGGTGAGGGGAAAAAGTGAGGAACAATTTTGACCTCACTACAAACTTTGACGGAGGGTTCAGAAAGGAATTACACTTATTGCTAATGGTCTGGAGAGGAGAGATGGAGGGAGGGATAAAGGGAAGGAGAGAGAGAGAGAGAGAGAGAGAGAGAGAGAAGGAACTGCCGTCCAAATCCCATTCCCTTGCAGGTACGGAGCTGATGGGACCCTGCCGCAAAACTAAAAAGTCACCAGCGTCCCTCGGAGCTTCTCTCTGCCCCCGGCTCAGCGTAGCAACCTGGGTAATCTTTTGTCGTGGCAGAAGCCACTCCGTTCTCCCCGGTACCCCCTTGCAGGATGGGCCATCAGTGGCCTGTTGTGGGTTGCCCCGGCAGCCCGGACTGCAGGGTCACCTGCGGGGCTCCATGCCCCCAAATCATCCTCCTGCTCTCTCCCTACTGCCCCGGCGTACCAGACAGGAGCCTTCTGCCCTGTTTGGGCTCCCAACTTGATAAGAGTGTTGTCTCGTTTAGTCCATCCCCACTTCTTTCCCTTCTCTCCATTTGCCCCACAGCCGCCACTGTGGGGCTGATTGCCCTGCGCAGACCCAAGCCCGCCCCCTAACTGAGTCCTCTCCGCGTGAGAGGGGGCATCTGCGAGCAAGGCACCCTGGCAGGAGACAGTCCGGACCGCAGAGGAGGGTTTATTTAGCGGGGTATCAATCCATGTGATATTTTTTTAATTCCTCTTTCAAAGGAACCTTTTGACCGTTGTGGTTTTACTGCGAATTATACCAGAAGAATAATTATGAATTAGTTTAAATGTTGCATTAGGCTTTAAGCACTTCCAAGGCAGAGTATTGGATTTCATATTTATAAGAGGAATTTACATTTGTACATTGACTCATGGTATGACGTAGGATGAAACCGATTTCCTCCCACCCTCCCCTGCTTTAGCTTATTTTGGTCGAAATGGGGTAAACAAGCAAACAGAAAAATCATCGTTTTAATCCACGGTTTAATAAGTGCTGACCCGAAGAGCAAGATTTTGTTGAGTAGATAACTGAGTCCTCTCTCTCCATCTCCCTTCCTCCTTCCCTCCCTCCCTCTCTCTCTCTCTCTCTCCCCCCCCCCCCCCGTGATTAATTCAGAGACTGTAATCATGGACATTGTACATCAAACCTTTCTGCTCACGCTACAGACTCCTGCAGATTTTTATTGGTTTACATGAAAGCAAGTAAACATATTTCAGAGGATGCCCTTTCAATCTGGCTCCATTTCCACAGCACATAATTCCAAGGACAATTTGTTTTAATAATAAGAATGGATGCAGTGTTAATGGTTTTCAATTTGTGTTTAAAAAAAAACATTAAATATTTATAAGTATCGATCGAGGGTTTCAGGATTTTACAGACGTCTTAACACATTTCATAGATGGGATTTTTTTTTTAATTTAGAAACCTGTGTCGTATTCTTTTATGCTGTTTATTGATTTAAGCAGCATCCATGTCTCAAGTGAGAGACTAATAGATTTTCATTAAAATAGGCTCTCTTAATCCTGATTGTGAATGGATATGATTGATCCATCCAGCATACTACACATCTATAATATTAATAAAGGACATTATCATGGCAGGACTTGCTTTTCCGTCATCAGTGTACTTTTGTTTTTTCCGCTTTCTTTCAACCTTAAAGATTTATTTGGGAGCCATAAAATGGCCCACAGGAGGGAGACGCTTTGGGAAGAATACATTTTTATATTAGATTTTTTTTTTTTTTGGTAGTTTAAGTGGAAAGATTTTTTTTTTTTAATCTACAAACCGCTGTGGCAACATATGGTGAAAATTAAACTGTTTCCCTGCAAGTCTAATCTTAAAACATTTATGTTGAGTTTTATTTTTAGAAAAACATTTTTAAAGAAGAGGAAAACAATCTTGTATGAAAAGTAAAATAAAGAACATTTGAAAGGCTATAGTTTAAACTAACAATAGC